AATATGGTTATTTCAACTGAAAATTTGAATTAATGTATATAAGTTGTACATATACAAATTGAAACATTTAGCACTAAGATGAAATGATATTGAAATTTTTATAAAACTCATCAATAATAATGTAATACATCATATACGTAAATATTGGTATTATTAACTCTTCGTCTACGAGGTAATGGGTTGGATACATGGTGTCAAATTGTTGAAATATGTACACCTATTAAAAGTCTTCATGATGGATCTCTGATGATGGCAAAATTTAAAGTCTGAGGATGTCACTGACGTATTTCCTGGATTACGAAATGATACACTCGCTCTGTAGGTTGATCGAAAAGGTACAATATTTACATTTATGGAATGTTCTCTCCATACTTAAAATATTAGTAATATCTCAATATACCAGCGAAGAGACATTATACTGTCTCTTCACTGAATATACCTAAATGCAAAGATAAGTGAAATTTTATGTTTTTAAATAAGTACACCTATATTCTTTTTCTTCATACGTTTCTCTAACAAGGTTACATTTTGGGGCGAATCATCTGATTTGTTCTCACTACCTATAAACCTATAGGTACTGAAAACGAGCATTTCTACTACTATTACTACCTGTTCGTAATTTTTCAAGCAACCAAATGCTGAAAATAGATTTGGGTTATTAAATGTTATGTATGAAATTGAAAGGTAACATACATTTATCATTTAGGCTTTTTTCTAATTTGAGAACAAATTTTCAAAACTCGATAATACAGGGAGGTGTTGTTTCAATTACTTACATTGCTTACATTGTAGTTTAAATAGGCGAGTGGAATAACTTTTTGATTTCTTAAAAATAATCATCACTCAAATACCTTTCAATTCCATATTTTTTAAGAATTTTTCAGTCGATTTTTAGGTGTTAAAATCATAAATAAAGCCACGGTAATGTTCAAACGGCTCGAAATTTACCGCTAGTTAAAACTGACGCCACGATATCCTGAGTAGGAACAGACCATAGCATAGTTGCCATGTGTTGAAATACGATTGGGAACTTCAGAAATATTAGTTATTCAATAATTCCTATATTCTCAGTTGAGTATCGGTAATATTCCTAATTATTGTCTCAAAATGTACCCTCATGTGGCTTATTGCTTGTAATGAATTTGTGTAAATAATAATTATATTAATTCACGCTAGAGGACATTTGAATCGGTGAACGTGACAATACGGCGTACGCAAGTCTCCAACATTTACATGATATTTTATGGAGAATAAGAAATATTTGGACATGCTGGATGCCATAAAAAGTCAAGATTGAACTATAATATCATGGGTTCCTGTTATTATGTTTTATTCAACGACAGCTAGGACTCTAACAACTTTTCGATAACTTGATTATAGTTGATGACTTGACAACCTTGCTTCATGAGTGGAAATGGAAGATAATCTGACCAATAACGAAACAGCATAAAACTGACGTCACCTTTTATTCGACGTATCGTGGACGTATCGCCAAATGGCGGCCATGACGGTACGTTTGAAATGAGCTCTGAAATTCAACAATTTCAAACAATGCATTGACTCATTATTTACATAAAAAAAGCGAGAGAAGTGTTGCAAAAATCAATTTTGGTTCCTAACAACACAGTGGAGTAATTGAATACCAATAATTCATCATCAGTCCACTCGCCCATTACACCACTACTGAAAATTAGCTGATTTTGTGGTGTAGTAAGACGAATAAAAATGCTACAAGATGACATAGTAGCATGTCCCTTTACCTAAATCATCAAGTTTTCTTAATAAAGCCGCTTTTTGTGAAAAATATAATTTTATGAAAAAGTTAATTTTAGATTGCCATGGAAATATCAAACTCATGACAGTTCGGTGACATTAATGAGTAATTCAGTAATTGTTATTGGCAGTGTTTCGAGAAATCTCCCAGAATGAACGCGAATATCGATTATTCAAACGAAGAAGTTCTTATGAAGTTATTTATTATACACGGACAAGAATTGACACCAATGATCTAGAGGAAGTTTGTAAGATTACAAAATAATTTTATCAACTATGGCTCAAAATGGGCTCAAAGTTAAATGCGCCTCCAACACTACCAAAACCTGTTACTTCGAATGAAGACAATATTGTTGACGTTTTGGCATATTTTCATGCATATCCAGGAGCATCCATTCTTAGTGCAGAAAAAGAATATGATAAGGAGGCGACTTCTCGGTGTAAATTAAATACAAATTATTTTTTATCTCGAAAACCGATAAAGATAGGTATAGGGATTTATTAACAAAAGAGTATTGGGTTCAAGTTTCGTTTAGCTGAAATCAGTTGGAAAATTTGTTGCTATGGCAACCGTTGTCATGGTAACAGGTAAACAGGAAACAAAATCCCGTGGTGAGGAAATGCATGGTTGCCAAGTTGTATCGGGTTTAGTATAGCTGAAATCAGTTATGCAAAAAATGTTGTCATGGCAACGATGGTCATGTTGAGGAGTGAACAAAAACCCGATTCCCGTGGTGAGGAAATGCGTGGTTGCCAAGTTGTATCGGGTTTAGTTTGGCTGAAATCAGTTATGAAAAAATTGTTGCTATGGCAACGATCGTCATGGTAACGAGTAAACAAAAATCCGATTCCAGTGGTGAGGAAATGCGTGGTTGCCAAGTTGTATCGGGTTTAGTATAGCTGAAATCAGCGCAATCTTCGACCCTCAAATTTTGTTCCACAAAAGTTCTTGCTAGTATTCAAACAATACTTTGAATGTATACCCTTCTCATCAATTTCTTGGAGACTGTTCGTCGTCGATTAATTCCCAAATAACTACTTCTCTGACGATCATATATGGAAATCACGTCAGGAAAAAATAGGCTTTGTTATTGAACAGAGCTAGACAAAATAGCGAGCGACAAAATAGTGCGGAACAAATAGCGCAAAAGGAAGGATACTTCTTTTTCTAAACAATCTAACCTAACTCGGCTTCAATGTACTTTCTTAGAAAAAATATATTTTTCAACATCGATCAGATTTGGTAGCAAGGCATCGTTCGTGTGTGTTTGAAGACTACATGGAAAAGGAGACTACTTTTTCTAAACAATCTAACCTAACTCGACTCAAATCAACCTTCTTCTTGAAAAACATATATTTTCCCACATCGTTCAGATTTGGTAGCAAGGCATCGTTCGTGTATGTTTCAAGACTGTTGCTAAATCAAAATGTGCGCGTAAAGAAAGGTATGGGTGAATCGAAATGAAGGCAAATGGAAATGTGGGTGGGCCTAACGAGATGTTTCCATCTGTATTAGACAATCAGTACCTGTAGTCTCTTTCTATATCCTGCGCGATACCTCGTAATGAATATTCCAAAATGGCTCTGTTTCTTTTTGATTTTGTCGAATAACTCGGCACGCGAAGGACGGTTACATTGAAGAGTGTTTTTGAAATTGATGAATGAATCCATAATTCTCCGATACAACTTGGCAACCACACATTTCCTCACCACGGAAATCGGGTTTTTGTTTATTCCTTACCATGACGATCGTTGCCATGGCAACAGTTTTTCCATAACCGATTTCAGCTATACTTAACCCGATACAATTTGGCAACCACGCATTTCCTCACCATGGGAATCGGGTGCGAGAATTGACAAGCCCCGGGGTTTATCGCGGGAGAGAGAAGGACATATAATGCCCTCTCACTCGCGAGAATGCATTTGGCACATAGCCGAAGCACAGTACTTCATCATACTTCGTCTCGTAAGCAACTGGTTGGCTCAGTAGGCAGAGCATCGGCATGCCAAGCCGGCGGGCCGGGGTTCGAATCCGTGCGAGGCTCATCTTTTTTTTATTTTTTCCTTGTTCTCAAGTGATTTCTAAAAAATATTCTCTATGGGAAATAGGTTCATTTAGGAGTTTTCTATGTTTGTGGTTTAGGCCAGAGGTGAGGTTCGGTTAGGTTAGGTTAGGTTAGAATAGAATAGAATATTTTATTTGGTGTTAATAAACATTAAGTTTTACACAGGTCAACGAAACAAGTACAGATATACTCATAAAATAGATAGGTTAGGTTTTCTCATTTTTTATGCAGAAACAATATTTTCCTTCCTCAAGAAAAATTCTCCTTCTTCAAGAAAAAAGGTTCATCTGAGCGAGAGCGAGTTATACGTCCTTCTCTTTCCCGCGATGAACCCCGGGGCTGGTCAATTCTCGCGAATCGGGTTTTTGTCTACTCGTTATCCTGACGATCGTTGCCATGGCAACAGTTTTTCCATAACTGATTTCAGCTATGCTAAACCCGATACAACTTGGCAACCACGCATTTCCTCACCACGGGAATCGGGTTTTTGTTTACTCGTCACTATGACGATCGTTGCCATAGCAACAGTTTTTTCATAACTGATTTCAGCTAAACGAAACTTGAGCCCTTTTTGATAGAAACGGCAACGTCGCAATTTCGTAAAATATTTTAGATCGATAGAACAGGTGATAAAATGTAAAATGCGAAATTTTCAGAAAAATCCTAACGTACTATCGACCGTGAGTTACCCTGTAGAGGAAGGGGGCGTTTAAAGTGAGACAGCTGTGAACACGGTTGAAATCAAAATCATCGGTACTTACAAAAAATCAATGTTATTAGATTCTTGACAGAAACTTCCGATGGAAAGTTTTTCGAAATGAATGTGTGTTGGTGAAAATATCATAGAAATGTCAAAACGGCAACGATTCTCGTCCTTTAAAAAAAAAGGTTATATGGGTAAAGGTGACACTTGACCAGCAATTACGCACAAGCAACATTGTGTATTTTACCTCCAAATGAAACATGCCTGCTAGTTTTTCTTCAGATAAACAAGATACACGTTTACTTTTCCTGCCTCTCGTTACTCGTCAGCGGAGATAAAAAAAATCTTTCTACCAACGCTACTTTCCGCTCCGCAGCTTAAATGTCATCATTTTCTGACAAAAATATCATCAGAATGTGTGGTGTCAAAGGCATCGGAATGAAAATGTTTGATTACAGGTACAAGAAGAGGATGCAGCCAAAAAAGCAGCAGAAGAAGGACAAATTCAGGAGGAATTATCGCCTCCATTTGAATCTGACATCAACTCATCCAAAGAGGGGCTCTGTGATAAGGACGAGTGAATAATAACATGAGAAAAAGTTGTCATTGCAAAATATAGTATATGTCAAAATACCTATGAATTATTAGTGTAAGTAAGTTGTAAATTATTAAGAATTCTGAGGGGACAAATCTAACTTTCAAAGACATTTGACTTATGAAAAACAAAAAAATTCGTCTGCGGCGCTTTTTTACTTTAGATAAATGACAAAGCTGGATACGCGTCTGTTTGGGCCATTAGTTTATTCATCAAACTGTCAAACAAATTTATGCCGACAAAATGAACTATAAAGAAAATCACGAAATTCCCGATGATATCCTAGAGCCAGCGACCGAAAAATATCGTTCACTACTCGTCCTGAAATGATTTTTCCGTGATTGCATGAGAATTAGTCACACGCGCAGAAAAATCCCTATTTCCAGACTCGTAATGATATACTGTTCGACATATTTCGAGGTTGACAACGAAAAGATGTGCTGGAATAGGTGTAAGCCTGTTTTGTTTCTCTGGTTATTTAAAAAATATATAGATGGGTACAATTTTATTCAAATCAATAATTTCTATTAATAGTTGATATTTGATAATGAGAAAAGAATTATTATGCCATATACCTGTGCCACCCCTTAACCCGGCGTCACCCAGGTAGAAAAACGGTACATTATCACTCAGGTGGGGTCTGATGTACCCCATAATTAGAAACACGAGGAAATAAAAACCATTAGGAATATTTCCAGATTTGTATATGAAACGAGTTTTTAGATGTATTTACTTCATGATTATAAACAGAAACTTTTTATAATGAGTTTAATTAATGAGATATCAAATACAGGGTGAGTCATAACTATTGGGACATAGGCAAGGGAGTAAGGGCGGATTGTTTGGACCAAAGATGCCTTAATAAAATATTGCTGTGAAAAGAGATACAGGGCGTTAAAGTTGATTTTTTCAAGTTTTTGACGGTTTTTTGCTAATAATTTCACTGTAAATGAAATTTATTTGAAAAAGTTTTGTGATTTGGTTGCTTTCCGACTAGATATCGAGATATTACACAATGTATACCTTCTGGCTGCATCCCGCATTTCTTCATGCATAAAATGATTGTGACCAGGCATTTCAATCGAAAAAATTTTGACTATAAACTCACACCAAAATTCATTCCCTGACAAGAAACGGATGAAAATATTGTGTTTAAACAGGAGTACCAATATTACGTAGAAATTATGTTTAGGTCATATTTTTCAATCAAAATCACTCAAAAGTTTCGTCAAAAAAAGTAACCAGGCGATTTCATCATCAGGAATCATTCACGTGGCGCCCCCTGTATCAAAATGTAGAATAGTACATAAAATAATATTCCCTGTATGAAATTGTGCCTCTGTGCCAATTTTGATAACAATTGATGAATATACAGTGAAATTATTGGCAAAAAACGCAAATAAAAAGTCAACTTCAATGCCCTAGCTCAGGGGTCGGCAACCTGCGGCTCGCGAGCCGCATGCGGCTCTTTTGATGTAATGTTGCGGCTCTCCAGGTCCATACGCAAACAATACTAAATGGAATCGATATGAATAAAATCGTTTCTATAGCAACTGATGGAGCCAGAAGTATGACAGGAATACATAGAGGGGTAACATCAATTCTTCAGAAGAAAATTAACCACGAAATTCTAACATTTCACTGTATAATTCATCAAGAAGCGCTTTGTGCCCAAACATTTCCGGCCGAAATAATTGAGGTCATGAACTTGGTGATTAAGATCATTAACAGCATCTTGGCAAAAGCTCTCTACCATCGCCAGTTCAAAGATTTCCTTGAGGAAATAAATAGCCAGTATTCTGACCTACTTCTGCACAATAAGGTGCGATGGCTTTCCAGAGGTAACGTATTACAACGTTTTGCTTTGATCTTGAGTGAAATAAAAACATTCCTCAATGGAAGATGACAAATGGCTGCAAAAATTCAACTTCATGGTGGATACCACAATGAAACTAAATGAACTAAATCTAAAACTGCATGGAAGGGGCAACCCAGTCTACGCTTTACTTGAAGAAGTAGTTTGTTTCGAACAAAAATTACTCCTTGTTGAAGACATGGAGAGCAGTAACTTAATTCATTTTAAAAATCTGAAGAAGTATCGCGATGAGACCAATGCAACTATTGACACGAATTACTTCAGCATGGTTATAAAAAACATCAAGGATGGATTCGCTGGAAGATTCGAGCAATTCAAATCAAACAAAAGTACTCTCGCGTTTATAGTAAATCCTCTCAACACAAATACAAATGAGATCAACATTGAACCACTTGGAATTGATGCTGGATCGCTTCAAATGCAATTGTTGGATTTGAAAACCAAAGACTTTTGGAGTGGCAAGTTCACAGAACTCAAGAGTAAGTTGGAAGGAGGTCAAGAAATGCATGCACATCGCGCAGCACAAGTGGACAGCTCTGAAAGAAATGCCGCACGTTGAGACCCTCATATTCGACGCATGGAATAGTCTTCCAGAATGCTACAGTGAGGTGAAATAGTTGGCATATGGAGTGCTGACGATCTTCGGATCAACATATTCATGCGAGCAAGCGTTTTCTTGCATGAATATAATAAAAAGTAAAATTAGAAGTCAACTAACAAATGAAAATCTAGAGTCGTGCTTGAAACTTAAAACATCAAGTTATAAGCCAGATTTGATGAAACTTTCAAAAGGCATGCAAAGCCAATGCTCTCATTGATATATATGGATATTATTTTATATTTGTGTTTTCATAGGAATAAAAATTATTTGGTATTCAAATCGATTTATTATGAATCGCAAACCAAATGTATAAGCAAATACTACAACATTGAAATGAAAATATTTCCAGTGGCTCTTTGAAAACTGAAAAATTTTGTGAATTAAACTTTTGGCTCTTCCGTTTCAATAGGTTGCCGACCCCTGCCCTAGCTGTATCCTTTTCCACAGCAATATTCTATGAAGGCATATTTAGTCCTATCGCCATATCTTGGTCCAAGCCTATGTTCCAATAATGACTCACCCTGTATATATAAATGGCGAAATTCTCAGAAAAAAAAACATGATATCTTTGAAAACTGTTTAAAAAATATACAACACTCAATTCTGTAAGATTTCATGCAAAACTAATTATTAAAATGTTCAAGTTATCAGCTAGAAAAGTAGCATGCAGAATATGAAAAAACAAAAAATTATCCATTTTCTTATGGGAATTTACATGTATCTCTTAGAATGAAATGTATATCTTTGTTGCACAGGTGGGGCTTCTCAGACCCCAAAGCTATTTACTGCACTGTCACTATCTTGATAGCTAACTAAATATTGAATATGCACCAGAATATCACAGAATGAAGTGTTTTGGGAAGCTCTAGGCAACCAAAGAAACGTTAGTGCATTCAAATTGAAATGCCAGTGATTTAAAATTTGTCAGACCATCTGAGACCCCACCTGGGCGACCCCGGGTTAATCTGAGCCAAATCTACGGCACAAACGAAAGGGAATAAAAATATCCCCTTCCAGACGTGTCTAGACTCAAACTGATCTAAATTAATGGCAGGGCGTCAACATTTCCGAGAATATTTCGCCCTTCTCGAAAGATAATATCCGATGGACTCGGACCGCTATCTGGTGCGAACCTGAATATTCTGCGTGGCATATAGCCAGGAAAGTAGTTGGTTTTCTCTCGTTATCTACCATTTTCGTTCATTTTATGAACTAGTGTGGTAATGACTTTGAGTTTGGCTGTGTCAAGTCTGTGGTTTGACCGGGCACATACGTTCAGTATGAAGTCTGACCATCAGTTTGACCAACCAGCTGTTTGGGAATATCGGTCACGTTTCAAACCTGCCCGAAAAGTTACCACGTTATTTTTGCTGGGAGTCGAGTCAACCATTGACCATGCTGGTATATATCACCACTGTGGTCGAACGGATGACTTGACTTAGGCTGTCACTCCCATTTCACCTGAAATAGGATCTTGTTTTGGAGTGTGTTTCTTTCCTTGTCAGGTGGCGTTCGGCGTTCGCGTTTTCATTTCGCGGACTTCGAACGCCTCGTATGGAATAAATGCTGAGATGCGTGTATGTTGGGTCAGGTTCGCACCAGATAGTGGTCAAAAAGCTATCTGGGACAGCCCTGTACTGATGAGAGCCAAGAGCTCGAAACCGGTCTGCAGGTAGTCAGCGTTCCTGAACCACTTAAGCGCAGCTCAGCGTTTAGGAAGGAAACGAAAGGGAATAATAATATCCCCTTAGCGAATATCCAAACGTGACTAGACTCAAACTGATCTAAATTAATGGCAGGGCGACAACATTTCCGAGAATATTTCGCCCTTCTCGAAAGATAATATCCGATGGACTCGGACCGCTATCTGGTGCGAACCTGACCCAACTTCAACGATTTTATTCGTCTATACGAACTATTGCATAGATTTCGGGAGGATGTGATCCAATGTTCTGCGTGGCATATAGCCAGGAAAGTAGTTGTTTTTCTCTCGTTATCTACCATTTTCGTTCATTTTATGAACTAGTGTGGTAATAATGACTTTGAATTAGGCTGTGCCAAGTCTGTGGTTTGACCGGGCACATACGTTCAGTATGAAGTCTGACCATCAGTTTGACCAACCAGCTGTTTGGGAATATCGGTCACGTTTCAAACCTGCCCGAAAAGTTAACACGTTATTTTTGCTGGGAGTAGAGTAGAGTCAACCATTGACCATGCTGGTATATATCACCACTGTGGTCGAACGGATGACTTGACAGCCTTTCTATCTCTTTGTGACCATTGTATTCCACTTTGAGTATTTGGCTTTTGCCCTAGTTGAAAATACGGCAGTCGGGCAGCCAGCCACTCCCATTTCACCTGAAATTTGCCTGAAATAGGATCTTGTTTTGGAGTGTTTCTTTCCTTGCCAGGTGGCGTTCGGCGTTCGTGTTTTCATTTCGCGGACTTCGAACGCCTCGTATGGAATAAATGCTGATAACTACGCCATCTAACAATATGAGAAGAAACAAGATCAAAGGTCTATTCAACTGGTGGCGCTGTAGTTAAATATGAAAAAACGATAAAAATACTATAGTTTTGATGAAAATGTGCACTGTTGATTGTTCACACGTGACTACTACTTCCAAGTAAACATTCAGTTTTGTTTGTTTACCACGCTTCTACATTTCCAATGTTGAAATGGATTTAACATTAGGTATTCTGAGTATCTATGTCTAGCACGTTAATCCCATTGGGCCGTTCAAACGGTTCCATAGGTATATATATAAGTAGACTGAGGCTTTCACGCTGGGTTGATAGTGACGTCAATATGTCAACACATACAGTGTTGCCAGTTGAAAGGAAATGACTGAATGACCAACCGCCCGAATATGGATATGTCTAGTGTTACGATCGTCGGACGTTATAATGTTTTTTGAAACCAACTCAAAAGCCGTCCATTTACGTTTCAAATGGTCACTGACAAGCTACTGGATTTTTCTTTTAGACTCCCTGGTTGTTAAACGCAGTGACATTTTGGGGCAATTCATCTGATTTGTCCCTCTACAAATATATTTAAATAATACGAATACTCTTATTTTATAGGAACGAGGAGAGAAAATCCCAAAGAATCAAGTAAAATGAATGTACCACCTCCTCGATTAACGTACAGACATTATTGATAAATGAACTTCAATATTTGTATTTAATGAACCATGCACCTAAACAATATACTGAATATGAAATTCAATGATAATGAAATTCTTATAAAGAATAATAACTTGAAGAATGATTTATTATATAACAACATCAACAAATAATCACAGATATTGACATTAAAAATAGTTTATTTTTCCACCAAAACACAATTATGTCTTGAATTATTTTTTTTTAATAAAACTGATCAGTATTCACATTTACTGAGTGAAAATAATAAAAACTTCGAATTCAATTTTGAGGTTATCTAATCGTTTTGAATGTTTTTCAATTACTATAAGTTGGTGAAACGAAATAGAAATTCGATTAATTGATTTCATTTCGTGGGAGAATAAATAGTGGTGCATCTACTTATATTGGAAATTATAAAATACCAAAGAAGGGAAGAGTTGTATTTCGTGCAAGATAATTTATTCAAAGAGTTGTTCTAACTTCAATATTCTCAATATAATTCATGAGGAAAACCCACAAAAAACTCATGAAACCACTATGTCATTACAATAAACTAACACAAATCATATTTGGATCATTCGGACAACACAAAATATCCATCCGATTAATACCATCATTCAACTTACATCTCTCACAGCAGTCATTGGAAGTAATGGACCATCTTCTGCGCCTACGCACTCAATGGTTTAGGCATTTTGATTAAATCGAATTTCACCTATGATCCACAAATAAATCACAAACAATTCCTTGAAAGTACAAATTATCAGTAATGAATAATTCGCAGAGATCAGCTGATCACAACAAATCGCTTTTGTTTTGCCAACTCAAATCGATAACGCGGTTCACCCATTTCGAAAGTTACTAGTATTTTTCGATGTGCAGTTTTGGCGGCACGACATTGTTACCAAGTATTGCGCAACTATCAACCCAGCATGAAAGCCCAGGTTTGAACTGATTAATAATGTGGGTTAATATTGTAAATCCCACTTACTTGTCCAAGTTCGATATTATAACAAGCAGATGATAAGACTATCGAAGCTTCAATGACCTATATTCAAAGTTTGATAGAGTTCACGAGCATCGTTAATTGTTTTGAACATTCAGGAAAAGTACCTATATTGTCAATCTGGTAATTTGTGACAAATCTTCAATAAATTGTAAATATACTATTGTCCTGAGTTGTCTCCCGATATTTCTGCGGCTTGAAAATCCATGGCAAATGTAAAAACTTCACGAACGATAAGATTTCCACAAGATTCTCTGTCACTCGAGATGGTTCGCTAACACAGTAGCTTCATCAGGTGAAATTCTGGTACAATGAACTAAACTATGATCCACAAAAAATATACCACGAACATTCATTCGATGTCGGTATACAACAAAAGGAATGTTGACTGTACGGTTTCCCTACTAATTCCTAGAAGTACATTAATAAAAAAAATTTATTTTTTATAATTACAAAAAAATGTTTAATCACCTGCCTTCACAAATTCGTTCATTACTAACACATATCACGTTTAAAAAGGCAGTTAAATAGCTATTATTGAATAAACCCTACTATACCTTGCAAGAATTTTATGAAGAACGCATTTAATGAATCTTGTCAGTTTTATTAATTCGTTTTTAATTGTTTAATATTTTCTTTTTATAGTGTGACTTTTACTGGTATATGTACTACTTAAATGTTTTGTTCCTTATATATGTGCATATTTCACATGATATTATAGTTTTAATATTAGTTATAGCTCATCATACACATGCGTTGTCAACAAAAACGAAAACAACTCAACAACTAAAACCTGGTTTTTAGTACAATAAAGACTTTCCTCTTCTTCTAACCTTGGCTTGCTTAACTTTTATACATCATACTTTCCCAACCTGAAGGATTAGAATTACCTGTGGACATCAGGTTCGATAAAGCATTTTCGGAAAATAGGCACAATATCTACATTAAAATACGGTGTACCCGATTAACTTGAAAGGGTTGATAGCAAGTAGGTAATATGTATTTATTGCTATCAACCCTCTCAAGTTGATCCGGTACACCGTATTTTAATGTAGATATTGTGCCTATTTTCCAAAAATGAAGGTGTAGCGAACCTGTCCATAGGTAATTCTAATCCTTCAGGTTGGAAAAGTAAAATATATAAAAGTTAGGCAAGTCAATGTAAGTTTACTTCATTGTACCCGTATTTCACCTGATGAAGCTACTGTGTTAGCGAAACATGTCGTGTATCGTTTGTGAAGTTTTTACATTCCTGGGGCTGATATAGTTCCTACCTACATCCAGAAACAAAGTTGATATTCATTATATAAACTCATTTATGAGAATGAAAAAAAAGGACCATATACGTACTCGAAGGAGGACGATAAAAAGTATCAGTTTTTCTGCAATATCATCTGATAACCATGAAATACCAGACAGGAATCCCTATCTCTAACTTGGCTCAAGCTTTGGTCTCTTCCGCCTCAAGGCAATTTCAAAAAAATATTTTTCAGTATTTTACGGTAAAAAAGTAACGGCTCGTTACCACAGTCGTTACCTTACCGTGTGGGTAGGCGGTTACCTCGCACATGATCTCATAATAGTTGTCTTAGTAGGCCACACAGATTGGGCGCAATATGGGATAACGGAGTTTATATTTTTCAAAGTTCAGCTATATTAGCATAGATTGCCTTAACACGAGCGATAAATTTAATATTTCTACAAACAATGATGGAAATAAGTAGATGGTGCGCGTACTGGGCCATTTTTACAACAAAAATCACTCGACCGCTTACTATGATTTCTCTACGTCACATCGAGAGAGTATTTTTCCCGCTAGATGGTGATGCTGCTATTGCTGCTGTGACGACTGAAAATGAAATGGCAATTTATGTCACTCAAAGTTCGAAATATCTGAGGCAATTTCAAAATTGACAGATGTCATAATTATGCAATGTCACCATCTATTAGAAGATCGCCGAAATCATAGTTCTCGAGAGGTCGAGAAGAATTTCTGAAACAAAGGCGCATCAGATGTGCTTATTTTCATCATTCTACAAACTAAACATTCGACCGGATAGCCTTGGAAACTAAGGTCCCTTCAAAGATCATAATAATTAGGATGCTTAGGGTCGGTTGCATGATTCTCTTTGTTAACTCAACAAGGAATCAATTCTAGTGACTCATCGATCAGTTAAGGCATCATGTTTTGTCATGAATAATTCAATGAAGAGTTGAGCTATGCTCTGGTAGAAGGAACAACTTTTGAAAAAATATAAAAGACGCGAAAAAAAATTAAATTTTCATTTTAATGTTCATTTATGTATGTACCTACATAGTAATGTGTCGTGAGTTAATGTTCATTTAATTTATCAACAACCAAATCTCGCTCTTTGAGTCAAGATCTCGCTCGTTTTTGACATCGTAGCTCCCTCGAAAAAACATGTCTGTGGCAACGCTGTAGACCTCCACGTAGATGTTAACATACGAAAAATAACGTCATCAGTGTCATCGACGGAATAATATATTTTGTTTTCGGTACTGGTCATTTTTGTTTCTTTATTTAGATCTGAACAATTATTCGTATTAAATTGAGAACTCATAGAAGATCCTGACTTTGATAATCTTGATAATCGGCTTATTTTTATACACGTGCAGATCTGAGAAAGGCGCATGCGTAGCTGTCAATTTCTATATTTACGTTAACATTCATGGAAGCACTTTAACTCTCTAATAGATCGATATCTAACAAACTAACACTTCTTGAGAGACATCCTATCGTACATGTACCTATTCATAAATAATTTATATTGTGTTTGAATCAAAGTTATCTCACAACGTTTTCCACTTCCATCTCTCATCTGATAACGAATTGGCATATGTCCCGACGGTAAAACATTGTATTTTATTGAACGACATCTGTGCCAATCACTATCCTGTGCGGGAATTCTGAATTACAAGATCTGAGAATGATGCCATCCGATACCAATTAAATAATAAATCTCATAACCCTACCTGTGCCACCCCGTAATCTGAGTCAAATCCTCGGCACAATTTTTTTGCTGCCGCCATTCTGGATACATTTTCATCACGTGATTTTATTTTATTTTTTCATGTTCTTGTTCCCACGAAAAAGAATATCCTGTAATGTTCAGAAAAAAAACGTGAGAACCAAGGAAAATAATTCTTAAATTTCTGGAGGTTATATGAAACAAAATGCACATAAAAGCAGGAGATAATGTCCCCTTCACGAATATCCAAACGTGCCGCGATACAAATTGATCTGAGTTAGTGGCGGAACGTCAAAATTTCCAAGAATATTTCACTCATGTTGAAAGATAATATGCGATGGACCGTCGGTTCGAAGATCTGCTCTATCGGATATTATCTTTCGACAGTGAAGGACTGTTCTTGGTGAAAAAGTACTCTTCTCACATTTCTCACATTCCGACACCAAACCATTTTCGAATAGTTTATTTTTACGAATCAAGGTGCAAAAGTCGTCTAGTGAAGTAGTCTTCGATATTGATGATATACGCGACGCATCAAGTTGTCCCTTTTGTCAACAGACCGAGAAGAGCAGTTGACCGAAACAGTACTGTCTCGCTCTTGCTGACAATTGGGGCAACTCGATTCATCCTGGATCTCTCAGTTGAGTTCTAGATTTTCTTCGTTGTGAATTATTACACTATGTAATTGTAAATGTAAATTATAACTTTGTTTTTGGATGTACTATATCGGTAGACAATTTTGGACCACCATAAATAGGCAATCATTATTCAATTCCAATGTCTTATATCACGTGAACTTGGACTGACCATAAGGTGAAATACTACGTTTATTAACATTTTATAAGATACAACACTTTGCTGGACAAAATATTCATAGTTTGTCTGTGAAGGGTTATATACAAAATCAGATCTAAATGTAAGTTGGCGAACCTACTAAGCTGGTATCACAAGCTAGACAATCCTTAGCATTTTTCGGATTGACTAGCGTACATTTTGTACACTCCGCTCCTCCCACTTCCATGGGTTGCTCCACTGCTATGATTCGACTCTTCCCGCACATTTCACAAATATCCTTTCCTTGTTGATTTAGAAGAGTGCATGCTTTGCACTGCCATTTAGTATTTGCCTCCCTATCATCAGATACTTTTCCAGACTTTTTTTTGTTACTCTTGTCATCTTTCAGTTTACTAGTGCTCGGTGTTGTGCATTGTGATTTGTTTTCAACCGAAATTTTTTCTTTAGGAAGAGTTTTTGCTTTTACATAATTCATCACTAAATTCGTTTTTTGTAGTTGTTTCTTACTATGTGCTACATTATCATAGCTACTACTAGGCGATATCTGCTTATCTATTTTGGTTGCAGCTTCTTTCTTTTTTTCACTCTCAACCCTTTTGTCGACGTCATTCACCCTTATTCTATCATCAATATTCAGATGGTTGAGAGCTTCATCAATATTTGTACCCTTAGATTTTTTGATTTCTCTCAACTGTCTCAAGGAATCAGGACTCAAAACGTCACCTCTTTCTCCTAAATCTTTGGTGTAACCTTGGCTCTCCAAGTTTTTATAAACATATTCCCAGTCCTCGAACTGAGAGTCACTTTTTTCAGGCGTCTCCTCAGCATGATATTTAGCCTGATTACCGTTTCTTGTCTTGTACAAATCATTATGCAGAAACTCCGAGTGTCTCGACTTGTGTTCAGATCGATGGTCTACAACATCGGAGGACGGTCCATTGTGTCCAATTTCGATCAGTTTTGCAGTTGGTACCTGCGGAACACCGTACCCATTATAGAAGCCATTAGTATTATAATTTGGTTTCACAGGAGCTGGTCCGTAGGTGGCATAGTTACATCCCTGGATGTAATTTGCATAAGGCATGGCTGTAGTGCAACACCCATTTACGAATTGAGGCTCATGTACTTGACCTTGAGGTAGCCCAATGTGAAGGTGGCTGCTGAGAGGAGGAAAGGAATTGTTCATTGGAGAAACTGGTGAAAGGTTAGCTAGATGGTTACGAGGTACACGAAATAATTCAGAACCCTCTGAGTAAGTACGAGTATGATCCTGATACTGAAGTTGATGATTATTGTATGTTAGAGCTTTGATTGATTGCTCCGGGCTGCAAATATGAGTTTTACGGAACTCAAGAACGTCTAGCCAAGATATCTTGAATGATGGAGCTAGAACTTCCCATATAGCTTTCCAAATCTACGAAGAATATTAAATAGATATATCCCAGAATAATTGAAACCGAACATATTACCTGACATTCAACATAAGCTATTAGGCAATCTTTAGAAACAGCAGTAACCCTATCAGGACATATAGGGCCTTCTAAAACCATCAAACCATTTCCATACAACCGATATCCCATTGCGCCAAACAATTTCTCTGCTCCAACTAAATTAGCCTCAACCTGGTGTTTGTAAAATCCACAATATATCTGATTAGAAATACCAAAGTAAGTAGGATAATCATTTCAAAAATATCATTACTTGCTTTTATTTGACGGTATTCTTTTCGCCAAGGTTGAGACAGTAAGTTGCTAGCATAGAGCTGAATTGCATTGAAACCAGCAGCTGCTTTGTATCCACTGAAATCTTTTTTGCAACTGGCAGACCGTTGTAGAACCTCTTGTGTTTCAGGATTGCTATATTTTTGGTAATCAGCGGCTACACACAAAAAATCGTTGATGTAATCTGAAAAGATAGTGAGTATAGACAGGTACAAGGTACATAATGACATTATTAAATATGAGTGTTAGGGCTATTCTGAAGATAAACCAGTTCTTGTTATTATCCTCATATCTTGTACCCTATATTATGTATTTTTGGCAGGATTTTGACTTTGAGTTTGGATGAAAATATACGTTGTGTCAGTACATGAAATATTGTAATTTGAACATATTTGGAGCCATTTGGTACTCGACTCATTAGTATGGTCCTTCGATTATCACTACACTCCTGAGCAAGAGTGAACCACTTGCTGAGCACGTAGAAGTCTTTCTTCGGCCAGACTCCACCCCACAAGCCGAGAGAGAAGCAGGCATCAAATGTTTCGTGGCTCTATATGGGGATGATATCGCGAAGGATACTTTGGATTTCCTGAGGTATAAGACGATTGTTACTTCAACGAGCATAAACCTCGCTCGATTGCCACCGACGGAAGATGTCGCAGGCCACCATGCGGCAAGGTGCTACCTCTGAGTGGCGGGGAGTGAACTTGAGTCCTACATATTCGGGGTGGAAGATGTCTTCTCCACCACCATGGATCCAGCACATCTTGCTCTTCTGCAAAAGATCTCATATAAATGCAAGAAAGGGTGCTCTGGGAGCTCTTCGTGCAGAAAGGCAGGGCTCCACTGCTCTGTCCTCTGCCAGTCATGCGGTGGCAAATTGTGCACCAACGTCCCGGATATAGAGCTGAAATGCTCGGATGATGAAGATGACCCGACTACCGATTGGGCGCCTCTCCCAGCAACCAGCACAGCCATCGAGACACTATCTTGGTGCGAGCCCAAGCCCGGGCCATCAAAGATAAGGAGAAAGTAATGATTTGGCTACCTGACACAATATATACATGTTTTATATTAGTTTTATTTGATGTTCACGTTGATGTAATTTAATCTTTGGAAGAAGTCCATGGTAACTCAAAGTGGAGTGGTGTAGTTCATAGATGTAATTTGTCCTTATAGTAGGTACCGGTAGGTACCATGATTTTTGTGCAAGCATTTTAGTATGCAGGTATATACGTATAAAACAACGTTTCATAATGGCGTTATTCCTGAAAGATATACAGGGTGAATTTCCCTTTTCGCATACGCCCTGTACAACCGTCCTAGCAGTTGTGAGGGAAGTAGCGCTGGTAAATTGTGGCGACTGCGTGCGGATTGTCAGGAAACAAGGCGTTTTTCTTTCCCGACAAAATCGCCAGATCTTACGCCCCTCGATTTTTTTTGTGGGGATATAAAGCATCGTCTACTCCGATCCTCCAGCCCCTACGGAGAAGTTGAAAGACAACATTCGACAGGCAATTAACAGCATTCCTATTGAAATAGGAATATGTCAGCGGGTATTCCAACATTCAAGAGAATCATTAGAGGAGTGCTATGGGGAGGATGGACGACATTTGGACAATATTGTATTTAAGAAGTGGAATCCGCATCCCTGAACTTTCAAAATTAATGATTAATTATATTATATATATTATCGCAACACTTTTAATTTTGTTATCATACCATAATGAAGAAGGAAATTTTCTCTGACTCACCCTGTATTATCTTTTTCATTTTTCATCAAACAATTATTCAACAATAACAAAAGTAAATAAATTGTAACTGTTTGATGAATAGAAAAAGACGGTAGAACAGTTCATTCGCATTATTCCCTAAAACCCACTTACAACTGTTTTTGGAAACAAAACTTATTGAATTCTCTTCACTTTCATTACATATGATATTTCACGTGGGAAGCGTATTATAGAAGATAACTCACAAAATATGTGACCATTTTGGAGAAATTTCACTTTTTCGAAAAAATTGCCTGTTTTCAAAGAATTGTATCTTGGGAAGCAATAGCTGTATGGAGCTCATCTCGGCCTCAAATTATGGCAAATTCAGTTTGATTCAAAAGTATAAATGCTTACTATACATACCGATCAAACCCTTTCTTCTCTATGATATTGAGCGAAAACTGAAGAAAGTTCAAGAATTTCATTGTTTTTTGGGTATACCGCCGCTCGCACAGCAGTTTGGAAATAGCAAATCTGGTTTTTTAATATTGGTATAGGTCCTAACAACATAATATATAAAGAATTCAGAATGACCGGACCATTTGCAAGCATGACCCCCTTTTCATGTTCAACTTTACTGTACTTGTACTATTTCCTTGATAAGGATTTTCTGGCAAACGGTTAGTTGTATGCTCGGTTGTGTGAAAAAAATGCGAGATACCGAATTCTCACATTTCTTTATGGCCGACAAGAACATGTTATTCAAAGTCAGAGTTTTTATTTTTAAACAAAAAATTTGGGCGAATAAAAGTGTAGAACCCCCTCCAACTCCCCCAAAACTGGGATTACATCATTTTTGGTACAAGAAGAAAATAAAGGGTCTATGAAGACAGAAGCCAATTTTCAGAAGATTTGGTTTGTTATTTCAGTCATAATACAATATATAAAATTCTCCTGTCCCGGTCACGGAACTCCTCCGAAACGGCTCGACCGATTCGTATGAATTTTTTTATGCGTGTTCGGTAGGTATGAAAATCGGTCGTAATCTATTTTTTAAATCGAAAATTCAAGATGGCGGATCCAATCTCCATAATGATAGAAAAAAATAATTAAACGTCCACCCGACCAGTGCTGAAGCCTTCGAAAACGGTAAAATGTGAAGAAAAATCATAGTAGGATGAAACTCATTGGAAAAGAAAGAGAATATAACAAAGATGGAAGGTAAAATAAATTACGGGCGATCTGAGGTCGGGAAGTGGAGGGGGTGTTTTCAACTCGGTTTTCAAGGGTAAAAAACTGTTTATCTTGATTTCCAGCAAAACTACGAGCCCTACGGAAAAAAGTTTAACAGCAAAGTTGTAGGTAATAAAGAGACCTACAACTTTTGTAATCACACTTTTTTCACATAACCTCAAAATTTATGTGAAAAATTCTAAAAATCAAGTTTCCGGCTTTTTATTTTTCTTCTTCAAAAAAAAAATTTTTTTTTCACGAAATTTGGTCCGAACCGAGGTCCGAACTTACCTTTTCATGTCCTAAAGACACTGTGATTTTTTTGATTCGATATTTTTTCACCTTATATTCACTTAAAATATCGAAAAAACACCCTAATTTTCAATCGAAAATTCTCACGGTAAAATATCAGCTTTTAAAAAAACTCGGGGCGTTTTTTGTTCGTTGGAATCTCTTCTTCCTGATAATGTAAGAAAATATATACATTACTATGGCAAATGTTCTCAGAAAATGCAAATAAAAGAAAAAACTCTAATCCAAATTTATTTGCAATCACTACGTACAATTTTGAGCTATTTTGTGAAATTTTCACTTCAATTACTTGAAAAACGTAAGATTCTATGTTACATTGAAAAACAAAAAAATTACAAATCCATAAATCATAAAGATTGCAAGAAACATGTGAAAATAGTTGTTCTAAATAGATTTAAAGGGGAGATTTCAATGAAAAAATGTGATTGCTGCAATTTTTTTTGCCAAAAAGTTGATTTATTAAATTATAATTACATTTATGTCATGGAAAATCTCATAATATATGAATAGAAATGTAAATCGTATTGAATTTAGATACTTTATACTGATTATCATTATTCATAATAATATTTTTAAATGCATTCATCTTCTTATTTATAAATCTCATCTCGAACCCTTATCACTTATTCATTACTTTTTGTCTCTTCCGTGGCATTTCTTCATCGTTAAATTCGACAAACCTTCCCGATTCTTGTGAATCTTTGAAATCTTCAAGACCATCACCGTCTTCCTATACAATATCATTTTCAGTCTGAATTGGTCCTTCATCCCACAATTTCATCTGAATCACTAACTTTCTTCAAATCCTATCTTTAATATTCAGAACAATAATAATCTTTATGTATTTTGAATTGACTCGGCCGTTACTTGATGGAAAAACTTCACAAACGATAAGATTTCCACAAAATTTATTAAACACACGACATGTTTCGCTAACACAGTAGCTTCGTCAGGTGATATTGGTTCATTGTACCAGTATATCACCTGACGAAGCTACTGTGTTAGCGAAACATGTCGTGTGTTTAATAAATTTTGTGGAAATCTTATCGTTTGTGAAGTTTTTACATTAATCTTTATGTAGTTAAAGTATAAATTTCACCAAATAGTTCAAAATTGTACATAGTGATTGCAAATAAATTCGGATTCCAGTTTTTTCATTTATTTGCATTTTCTGGAAGAAGAGATTCCAACGAACAAAAAACGCCCCGAGTTTTTTAAAAAGCTGATATTTTGACGTGAGAATTTTCGATTGAAAATTAGGGTGTTTTTTCGATATTAGGTGAATATAAGGTGAAAAAATAAATATTTCGAATCAAAAAAATCACAGTGTCTTTAGGACATGAAAAGGTTGGTGGTGGAATTTTTTTTGCATAAGATAAAAATAAAAATCCGAAAACTTGATTTTTAGAATTTTTCACATACATTTTGAGGTTATGTGAAAAAAGTGTGATTACAAAAGTTGTAGGTCTCTTTATTACCTACAACTTTGCTATTAAACTTTTTCCATCTTTGTCATATTCTCGTCCTTTCTCAACGGGTTTCATCCTACTATCATTTTTTTTGTTTCAAAAATTATCGACCCTGGTCTATATATAAACTTTCTTGATTAAAATGTTGAAATCTATTACCCATTTCAGTTTGTACCTCAAAACCATATTCACCCTGTATTATTCATTGATAGGGGTAGAATTGCAAGATGAAACATAAAAAAGGTTAATATTTCAATGTGAATCTTCTGTGATGATTTATTTTGAATTCATATTTTTTCATATTTAGTCATATAAGTATTTTTCATGGAATAAGATTTTTCCATAAAATGATCCATGACTTCTTTATGCAAAATGAAGACACCTAATTGATTTATTCTTGTGAGATCCTCTCCAAGAAAATTTTCTATGTGCCTTAGGGACGAATACTGCTACAAATATTAACATTTTTGAAAACATTGCAGTTGGAGTTGATTTCAATTAAAAATGTCCAACTAAAAAAAAGTATACCATCAGAATGGAAAAAATCAATATCAAGAAAGATATAGGTAGTTAATTTTCAACAATGATAATGGTGGTTGACACTCTTTGACAATCCCTCTATCCTCTATTATCCAGAGACTACATGAATTGAAGGAGGATTTTACAGAAAATCTATATGAAAAACATCAAAATCACAAGAGTATGGTGATCTATGTGAATTTATATGGTAGCTATATATAGCCTTAATTCTAATTGCATCTTTGATAAACTTGTAAATACAATGTTTAGAAAGAAATTGATTCTAATAGAAGATAAAATGATATATTGGGACTATTTAATCAGATATATGTTCCTCTGTGAAAAACATGAAAATAGGTTATTTCAGTGTTCATACATTGGTTATTTCCATTATTTCCTCAACACCATGTTCTTTATCATCTTGAACCAATATGCATATTCAAAGCTGAAGAATCACATATATTTTGTGTCCTAAATTCGAACTTGGATAATAATTAGGGACCACTGGACTTGAGGTACCAATTTATATAGCAGAATGTACAGCCACAGTAATGTACAGCTCAGCTTTTGCTATGAAAAATTATGATATAAATAAATTCAACTCACCTTCTAGTTTTACCCTCTGTTCAATTTTCTCAGGAGTTTCATCCATTTCCAAATAAATTAAATGGCTTCGTTCTATTTCTTGCCATAGTTCATGAAATGTATTCTGTGCTAAACGATAATCTTCCATTATGACCATACTGGACAAAAATCAAAATTTTCCATTAAGGAAGTGACAAACCATACTTTATCAGTTGGGGTAATGAATACCTATAAAATGTTCGCTTAAAATATATTCCAGTTCACTTTATCATATCATTAACCCTCTTTCTATTTTTAAAAGGAATCACGAATCCCGTATCGTACCCGTATCCCAAAATTCCCAAATAGAAATAAAAAAAATTGTTTTGACTAGTTCTGAGTTTTGACAGATGGAAATAACAAAGTTGCGTTTTATTTATACCATTCTGGTAACGGTGGTGGAAACAGAGTACAGAATGACGTTTTACAAATAAAACGAGAAACTTCAGAGAGAATTAACATAATATAACATATTCATATTATAGATAGATGAAAGAGATGAGGAAAATGAATTATCGCATATTTCTAGCAATGATTGTGGAGATGGATGCAGAAATTCTCTGAGATCGAGAAACTTCATTTTATCTGGGAATGAAGATATAAAGCCAGTCTTACTTGAAAAATTTTTGAAAAGAATCAAATACTTGTGAACCTTACGATAAAAATATTCTTAAAATCTTTTACTTTCAAAAAGTTTCGTTTTTCGTCAATCTAGTTTTCTTTTTTTGACAACATGACAACTGTTAATTAAAACTCACATTTGTCACTCAGTGGTGGATCGATGCAAGATCTATTGGCGTACTAATTTATGCTTTCAAGAATGTTTTCCTTTCTTTCAGGATGCGGATGGCCTCATTGATAATTCAGTTTTCCTGCTAGTGATGTATCACGTGATTCATCGTGAATTCATGGTATGTTTTGAATTATCCAAGGCCCGCACAGTACGACATATGCATTGCGCATACTCGTCAATAAACTTTTCTCAGCCGATCACGTGGTAATCGCGAGTTCAATTATACAGGTTGTCTCGAAATTACATGTAATGACTCTAGGAACCAAAATAGCAGAGTTTCTATTATTATGGACCCAGAGCTGTCCCCTGATTACAGCCTAAAGGCTAAAGCCATCTAAAGGCAAGGCCAAGATGAAGATTATTTCTGGAAATTTTTGAAGCCCTTATTGATAAAATAACCAAATTTTATACATCTACCTTATTCTCTAACGCCCAATTCAAAAATGTTTTTGCAGATAAACCATTTATTTATTTTGTCAGGAAAAAAATCCATATTCTCTACTTATACTCCGTAGCAAAGTTAGCAATTTGATCAAATTTTCATCCTCTTCTGACTTCAACTTCAACTAAAAGTCAAATGATTCTGAAAAAGATTGGTATAGGTGGAAGACCGACGAATAATATCAGATTTGAGATTATTTATTAATAAGTTGGAACATTGGCTCCCCAATTTTTCTCTTCGGCTATAACTTTTCTACGTATTGTTTTCCCCTAATTTCAATTCCCTCTTGATGATTCACTTTTGACATAATTTTCATCTGAATAATAATAACTGAATGTAAGTTGTATTGAGTTCATTGAAAATACCTCATGTTCACAGATGCGGGAACTAAATCAGTTCTCGTTTTATGAATTGTGACGTCACTGATGACGTCAATATCATACTCCCCCTATTACCGTTATGACGCGAAAATGCAACGGGAACTGAATATCAGTTCCCGGCAAGTCAACGGGATCTCGCGAAAAAATACCTATGTTCACACCAGGCAAATGCCTGGGATTGTTCCGCAAAATCAACTTGGTTATTTCGGTTAGTTGTTTCCGTTCCGTAAATATAGAATGTTTGGTTGGTTCCTGAAAAAAGGTTATTTTTACGGAACTCGGTTGCTGAAAAAGCAGTAGATTCACTTTCACCGTGGATTTCCTCTGGTAAGTTCGGTAAGTTTGTTTTCGGTTTGATTCGTCGATTCATGCATTACAACGAAGAACAATATTATCATTCTGATTGTTGCGGTCGCGTTGAGTTCCGATGGATTCGTTTACTGAGGTTAATTACACATTCATTGAACTCTGCTTCTGCTTACTGTGCACAAGAATTATTAGAGACTTTCGGGTGCCATAGTTGAAAATCAAATACTGGAAGAGCATGAGCGTTTAAATTGAAAAACGATCAAAACTATAATTTGATAAATGACTGGCATTCCGTAAATAAACCATTAACCAGTTACCACAACCGTACTCACCAGTAGATAGCCACTGTCAAATTTTTTTGGCATCGGGCATGGGTTCGGTCAATGCCGTCAATGGTTCGGTTTCACCATGATGAAAATCCACCTTTGGTTTCACTAACGGAACATGTCATTGTTGTCATTATTGTCATTATTGGTTGTGTTGTAAAATCATGGTTGTAAATTAAAAATGAGATTGGGATTGAAGTTGGAAACAAAAAAGTTTCTGTTAAATAGTTGGTGGTGAGCTATTTTTCGATAATTGTGAACTATAGTTAATCGAAATGTGATTTGTATTCTCCCTATAAGAGGAACTTCTGTGTTTTGAAACTACCAATATTGATAGTTGAGGCGGTTCTAAACTGCGCCAACATTTCAATAGATATCTTCCATCCAACAGTGTGAACAAAAAATCTGGGAAATGATCTAAATTAATAAAGCAAAGACGTTTTTAGTTTTTGGTGTATCAAGTATGGAAATGTCATCACTTTCCAAATATCAGGATACGTTTATAATAAAACATGAGAAAAATTTAGAATTCACCATGGACTATGACAGTGGGTATGTTTCCCACAATCCTGAATCTAATCTTGATTCCTCATCAGAAAGTTTGAATGAGAAAATAGTTAACTGTGTGCCTGATAAACCTATTTATCTCAGTGAAGATGCTTTGTTAGAAATCCCAGAAATTAATAAATGTCACAATCTGAGTATTGAAATTGACAAAGAAGATTATGAAGAAACTAGACAACTTTTCAATTCCCCATCTATTGAAAGTAGTACTATCCTAACTAACTCCACTGAAAGTCATGAAATGAACTATAGTGGATTCAGTGGAAGCTCTGATGAATCTGACATTGAAATTCCCAATGTAAATCAAATTATCATAGACAATTTGGATATAATGAGGAGTGCTGATTCTGGGAGCCCTAGACAATCAAATGAAAAATGCTCTCTTCAGGCTTTATGTAGTGATTCAAATGAAAAAAGTGAGGAATATTTCAGAGGATTTCCTTCAAACCACATGAATCCCACCACTGCTTTCCATAATATAACAAACACACTTGTTACTAATGACCCCAAGAAAAAATTGACACTAATTTTCTCAAAAGGTGATAAGGAGAATGTTTATAGTGTTAAACGAAAATATCAGAGTATGACTCCTGATAAAAACATGACCCCAGAACAAACTGCAACTCCAAGAAAACTTGAACATAGAGAGGATGAACAATTCATTTCACAGCATAAATTTGATGAATTCATCAAATCTAATGAGATTGACAAAACTGGTCCTATAGGTCATGAAAATAATCATGATATCTCTTCCCAAATTAAAGGTTCAGTTGCAAATAGTTTAATATGTGCTACATTATCCAATGCATATGCACAAAAACATGTGTTTTCATTAAACTGTAGTAAATCCAAGAGTAAATCAAATGAAGAATATGAAAAAACAGATTCAAATTTACTTTCAGAATGTTTAAAGAATTTCAGTGAGACATGCTTTGTCAATGAAGGTATGTATATTGAAGAAGACATTGATACTGGAGAAGAAGTTTACTCTACAAATTCACAGAATCAAGACAGAGAGAGTATCAAAGAAGAGAGTGTGAAAGATGTTTTTCTAGAGCAAGGAAATGCCAACAATCAGAATATTTCTGATATCAAAATAGAAATAGATATTACTGAACATCCACTTGAATTTTCTGAAAATTCACTAGAACAACATAAGGAAAATATTCAACATTATGAAGAACTTGAAATGGATTCACATGAAACTTCATCAAAACAGGATGAGAGTATTGGTACTGTTTCTACAGTTCCAATTAAATTAGAAACTGCTGAACCAACAGTTTCATGTGTAGAAGATGTAACAGAAGGAGAAAATCAGACTATGTCAATCATTGCTGATGTGCCAATTTCTGTTGAGAACATTACAGATTTCCAGAGATTGATGATTGATTATTCTTCCAATTGTTCTGGTTCTCACACAACAAATTTAGTGGATAAAACAGATAATTTTTTTGAACAAAACACAAAAATAGATGTTTCTTGCACAACAAATTTACTGAATGAAATTGATAATTTTGGCAAAAAAACCACACAAATTGACATACCCATAATTCCTAAAGCATCCAATGAATCTTGTACAAAAAATTCAGCAAATTCAAATGAAAATATATCCATCACACCTAAAAAGAAATTCAAGAACAATATGGATCCCAATTTGAGTCCTGATTTATTTGATGATGAATTCATTGAAGAGAAAGCCCAAACATCACAACTACCAACCTACATAGCAGAAGAACAGTTCATCAACAGAAAAGACAGAGCTATTCTACGAAGAGCCCAAAATAACTTGAAGGGTGTTATCCCACCTCACAGTATGACTGTTTTCAACATATCTGTAAATGAAATTCTCAATAGAATTGAACATAATGATGAATATTTCTGGCATAAAGCTGAAGTGAACCAAAATGATTCTGGTAGTGATAAAAATAGTTCATTGAATAGTAACACCAGTATCAAAGATGATATATCTAAGTCTTTGCTAATAAATTGTTCAATAGAAGAGTCAAAAGAAAAGAAGTTTCCAAGTATTCTTGAATACAGATGCCATGGTTTATAGTAAGTATATCTTATATTACAAATAATACTAGAATGAAGGAGAATAATCCTATCTTGCCAACTATAACATGCAATTACATATAATTCATTCAGTTGGTTTGTCATTCTTCATATTGTTTATTGCATGTTTACCTGTTCTAGTGTTGAAGTTTTTTAACAATACCTGTACCGAGACCTGTACTTAACTGCTTTCCTAATGGAATATAAAGTGATTATAAAATGAATATTAAGTATTTATTATAAAATGTT